TTTGCCACTGAGGTTCCAGCATAGAGGCCACACTGGGTGGGGATTCATTCATCCTGAGTCCTGCTGCCCCCATGTGGTCTGGGCCAGCATGGCAGACTAGGAGTCTCTCCAGGGGAACACCCCTTCCACTCAACACCTGGAAACACTGAACACTGGTGGAGACACAGATACCTACACCTGGCATGGGAGGAATATAGGAAGTGACATCTAAGCTAGGGCCAGAGCAGCATAAGTTCCAGTAAGGGGAACAGCACATGCAGAGACTAGAGGGACAGCATACAGTAAGCTTGACTACACTGGGTTACTATGTCCCCAAATTTCTTGCTTGACTTTGCTCCTATGGGGTAGTACTGGTAAGCTAGTCCCACCTATTGTTTACTGATTGGTAGCACCTGCTTGAAGCACGCTATTGTGAATAATGTTAATTCACCTGAGTGCAAAACCAGAATTCCTTGATGGATGTGACATCTGCCTTGTGTAGAAATAGAACCACCCCACAGAACTGCAGGTCACAGATGAAAAGCATCTGGTGGTGGTACTCAGCAGGCTTGACCACATACTAGGAAACAGGAGACTGTGGAAGAAGAATTTAATGCGGGAAGGTAGAATGTTTAGGGTGTGGGCTCTGGAAGGGAAACACCTTGGCCCTGGTCTTGGGCCAGCAGACGCAGAAGCAGGGAGTGCAAGGACCGGCAGACAGGTGTGTAGCCCAGGCGGCTCAGATGCAGGTAATCATACATGTCATGGTGGCTTATGGTGCCATCTGAGTGTACGAAGCCAGGGTCAGCATCCAGGAAGTGGGCCCGAGGGTGGCCAGCCAATGCTGCCCGAATCAGCTCATTCACCTGTTGGTTCTTCTCTCGAAGTGGGTTAGGATGCTGGCCTCTTGGAAGCAGGCCCTGAGGAGGAACACCAAGATTAAGGAGAATATACCAGTGATGGGAAAGTGGAGAAGGTGGAAAGGTAGTTCCTAATACCATGTCTCTGGCACCATTCAGCAAGAAACTCTGGGTGCCAGCTCTTTCCAGTATCACTCAGAAAAATGGTGCCATCATGGCAAAGGGCTAATCCGTTCTTTTACATGTCCGATTTCTAAGTGATGGAACCTAGATTCACCCCAGGTACCTGACAACTTTTGGCTACTCAAGTGGTTCTTTTGAGTTCTTTCATATCCCCAGAATCTCTAGCAGTCCTTAGGAAAAAAGGGCTCATTGGTCCCTGTCCCTGAATGTGTCCTCAACCACAGCCACTGTGAAGGGTGTAGCAACCTCCCATGTGAAATTTTTGCCCGAAAGCCACTATTCTAGGGCAAGTTGCCCAGAACCATGCTGGCTGGGGCTGCATCTGAGAGGAGTCCCAGGCCACTACCCTTCTTTCCTTCCCACCCTCCCAGTCTCTCACCAACACCACGACCCGGGCCTGAGGCTGCCGCTTGTTCACTAGTTCCACAATGGCCTTGATGCCGCCAGCCACCTGCTCTGCTGTGTGTCCATGGTTGTTGGTGCCCACCCAGACCACCACGATCTGTGGAAAGAGGGCCATGACATGGTGGTAATGGGACAGCCAAAACACGCTTTAGAGCCCTAATATCTACTCACCTTGGGCCGGATATGTTCCAGCTCCCCATTCTCCAGCCGCCACAGTACATGCTGTGTACTGTCACCACCAATGCCAAAGTTAAGGGCATGCAGAGGAGAGAAGAGTTCCCGCCAGATCTGTGGGCAAGAAGTGGTATGGGCACAGGGGCACTGTCAGCATGGAGCAACACTTTGCCCACGTGCTAACCAGATGCCATTATGGAAGAACCTTGCTATATGGAACCATTCTGGTGACATCGCACCTAAAGTAAACCCTGTATGGCAAAAACTCACTTCATGGACACCTACTATAGTCCCACTTTAAACCATACCCCCTGGAAGCAAGATTCACTTTATGGAAACTCAGTCTACTTGAGCCATACATTGAACCAGTACCATGACAGCTAAAACTTATGTTGAGGAAAACTATTACATTTGAACATCACCCATTGGAAAGATACTCTCATTGAGCCTGCTTTGTATATGGTTGACCTTCCCTTCATGTAAAGAGACTACAGCTTTGTGTAAACCCAATAGGGCTGTGCACTATTTAAAATGAACAATAAAGAGCCTCGCCTTAAGGCAGAAAAGCCTCATTACCAGTCTTAGTATACCCAAATCCACTTAAATAAAGTTGGGACACATATTTCCTTCTCAATATAATATTACAACGTACACCAAGATTTTTGGCTACCTGAGGCCATTTGGTATCCCACACCCAGCCCGGGTCCTGGTCCAGATCTCTCAGTGACGGCACAGGCCTGGGTCGGGGGAAGAGGAGAGGGACGGGCCTCACCTCGCACTGGTGCATTAACTGGACTGAGGAGTCTCCGATGAAGACGACTTCAGGTTCCTTATCCTTACTGTCTGCCACGAATCGATGGTGCTACAAAGACGCACAGGGAGTCAGTGGCAGGTGCGTTCCCCTGGGCCAGCCCAACCCGCTTCCTTAGGCAGCACCACCCCAACCGCCCTCAATTTATCAATCTGATAGAGCAGCACAAATCCACCGTTCTCCGGAGCCCACGCCCCTCCCCTCGACCCAGAATCCTGAGTAACCCAGGAGGGAGCGCTCACCAGGGACATCCAGCGCCCGTCGCCCTGCACGTCCTGCACCGGCGTGGGCTTGCTGGCTGGGTTCTCCTCTCCGCTCATCTTGACTCCGCAGCTCCTTCAAGGTATAAGAGAGAGGTTGGCAATGCTCCCAGAGGAGATGCTCCACCACGCCCACCCCTACCTCTCTAGGCAACAAAGGACCGTCCAACGCGCGCACTCGGGGTAAGGACTAAGGCAGATCTTGGGCTCCGCCTCCTCCCCTGGGACGAAAACCTTCACTTTGGAGGCAGGTTGAGTTGGGAACCCGCGCTTACCCCTACGGCGGCCGCGGAGTGGGCTCGTCCAGCGCTTCCCGCCGGTGCCCCTGACTCACCCAGAGTGGCCACGGCTGGAGCGCCTCGGAACAGTGAGACTCGGGGAGGCGAGACCATCAAGCACCCGCCGAGGGGAGGAGGGAGAAACCACCCACTGGCGTCACGGGGAGGAGCGAAATACCTGCAGAGCTGAGAGTGGGCGGGGAAAACTAGCTCCGTTCCAAAGAGGAAGAAACCATTTGCTGTGGAGCGAGAAATGCGAGGAAGGGACCACCTACTGGGGAGGGGTGTGCTCCATTCACGTGGTGGGGGGAGGGGAGCGAGTAGACGAGTCCATTCTTGGATGCCTTGAGGGGGTGGCTCATCTGCACCATGCCAGGAGGCGACGCTCCCATTTTCTACAGATGCGGGGGACAGAAAAGGAAGATAGCAAAATGGGATTAGAGATTCAGTTCTAAAAAGACATACTAAGGCAGTGTCAGGGTTTTAGTGAGCCTATCTTCTTGTGGGCTTCCCTTACCCAAAACAGTTTTTTTGTGTGGCATAACATCTAAACTATTTATCTTTGCTTCAAGACAACCTGGGACCTGCGTGGAAGGTAAAAGGTACCGAAAGGGAAAGGAAATTAGAGACGCCTGCACGGCCCAGGTTCTGCCTGGCACCTCATCCACAGATCATCTTGCAGATCTCTGTGTGGCCTCTGCTTCCCTCTCTAAATTCAGAGCCAACCAACAACATGAACTTCAACTTCGTGATAGTTCTGAAACACATCCACAGCCAAGGCCACCTAGGGTCATACCCCTCCTCCTCACCCCAAATTAATTTCAAACCTCAATGTCTTCTCAGATCTCCCTGTTTGCTGGGAATACGTGGGGGGTCTCACTCCCAGCTAAACATCCTGCTCATCTTCCTGTAGCCTCACTCTCCGCTGAATCTTCTTTCATTCCTTCTAGATAGATTAGTACTGAGACATAGAGATAAGTCTTCATTGTCTTTTAAAATTTATTATATATTTAAAAAAACTTCTGCCCTTTGTGAACAAAGAATCTTACTTAATTGTGTTTATGTTTTACTTCAATCAACTTCCCAGGAATGACACACAGTGACTGCTCAGTAAGCACTTGCTGAACAAATAAAATGATTGGGCCAGATGCTGGCCTTGTCCAAGTGTCTCCAAGATGCAAACACAGAACTGTCCATGTGGAAGGGTCAATGTTGTGTTGAGGGAGGTCTAGAGGACCTCTGGGTAAGAAGCAGGAGCAGGACTTAGTGCTAGGGGTTCCCTAGAAGTGGCATCTGAGCTGGGTTTGAAAGATAAGATTGAGAAAACAGAAAGGAAAGACACCTGGATAATATCGCTTGGGGGGGGGGCAGTTTCTGTCTGTTGCCCAGGCTAGAGTTCCATGGCATCAGCCTACCTCATAGCAAACTCAAGAGATCCTCCTGCTTCAGCCTCCAAAGTCACTGGGACTACAGGCCCATGCCACAATGCCCAGCTAATTTTTCTATTTTTAGTAGAGATGGGGGAGGGTCTTGCTTTTGCTCAGGCTGGTCTCAAACTCCTGAGCTCAAGCAACCCTCCTACTTCAGCCTCCCAGAATGCTAGGATTATAGATGTGAGCCAGGGTGCCACGCCAGAGATAGATTTCTTATTAGTGTATGGTGAATACCCTGGAATGGCTTGATTTATTTATTGTTAATTAATTTTATAGGTACTTCTTGCTTTGTCAGCAGGCTGGAGTACACCAAAAACTGGAGGTCTCCAAAGTCAGGGCTCAAAATTGCTGGAATTACAGGCAATTTGGTGAGCCACTTCACCAAATGTGATGTCAAAGCCTGAGGGAACAAGTGTGGACAGGTAAGTTGGAGAGTTAGAGGGTCATTTGCTAAGCAAAGCTTAGTGAGATACAAATCTTTCAGGCATCCATTCAGATGTACTGGTTCATTTCATGTCTCTGGAGATACTATTAGCAGAGTCATCTTGAAGAGTAGGAAACTGTGTCTCTGAATAATTACAAACGTTTCCAAGATCACTCAGCAAAAATGTGCCAGTTTGGGCATTTGAACCTAGTCTAGCTCTGAATCACACTATACTAATTCTATTTTTTATTTTTCTGAGACATTATCTATCCCAGGCTAGAGTGCAGTGGCATCGTGATAGCTCACTGCAACCTCAAACTCCTGGGCTCAAAAGATCCTCCGAATTGGCCCCCCAAGATGCTAGCATTACAGGTGTGAGCCACCACGCCTGGTTAACAGTATACTTATCATATGGGGATGACTCCCTAGCGAGGGGCCGGTTGAATCAAAGAGTTACCCGGACCCCTCTCCGCCTGCCGCCTGGCCTTGTCTCGTCCTCCAGAGAAAGAGCGCCAGTAACTGTCTAAACCAATCAGCACTTAGGAGGGGGGCGGACCTAGTGAACCTTACTACCAATTGGTGGATGGGAGGTACTAAGGCCAAATGAGGGAAGTTTCTGAAAGTGAGGCTGGGAGGGCGGGGCTATAACCGGCATTCAGGGCCTTAGGCACGTGCAGCTGGGCTTCTATCCTCTCTCAAAGCCGAGAAGCCAAAGGGCATGGGAAGGGTATGCGCATGCGTGTGGTGCGATTGAGGCCGAGAAGAGTGCCAGGGCACTTCGAGAGCTGGGATCACGGAGGAAAAAAAGCCATTGCGCCCCACAGCCACGTGTGGCAGGAGGCGGGTGGGGTTCGTTGGGGCAGGAGAGGGTGAGGTGCCTTTCCTCTACGCTGTCCCCATCATCTGTACCTCACCCCCTTCTCTCTGCCCCTCTGCCTTACCTCAACTGCCCCACCCTTTTTCCTTTCCTACCCTAGGCTTCCGCTCACAACCAGGCCCTATCCTTGTTAGTTCCTTTGCCTCGCTTTCTGTTTTTCAGAGTTGTTTTCAGGCATTCCAGACTTGCAGTGTTCTCTCTCCTGCTTTTCTTTCTCTACCATTTCTCTCCACTTTTTGTATTGTCCTATATTTCCTGGATTTCTCCGTTTTCTCAGAATCCCTTTCCGGTCCCCACATCCCTCCAAGTTCATGACCATTTCCCGTATGCCGTCTTTTAACTATTTCCCCATATCTTTGTTCCCAATAACACTTTATTCCCTGCCCTCTTCCTGTTAAATCATCTTGATCCTGACTTCATCCTACCTGCAGTCACTCTCTGCCCACTTCCTTTCTCACATCTTGTCTCTCTATATAGATGGCATTCCCACCTCACCCCAAACCATCCATCTCCTCTCGATCACTTTGTTATGTACCCTGACTTATCTGCATGCTCATAATCTTCATCTTCCAGGACACCATGGACCCCCGGGGCCCAGCCCCCCAGCCTTTCCAGCGGCCTGAGAAACCTGGTCGTGTCCACCGTCAGAAGACCAGGCGAGAACGGAACAAGGCCCTGGTGGGCAGTCTCCGGCCACTGGCCCGTCAAAATCCTCCTGTGACCAGTCGGGATCCACCTGCGGCTTTCCGGGATCCTGTGGCCCCTATTGCCCCCAAATGTGTGGTCATAACACAAGGCCGGCTGAGCCGGGAGCACCGGGGTCTCTTCAACCATGAGGTGAAATCCCTGGACGTGGCACGGCTGCTTAGCAGTGGAGTCCTGGAGCCAGACACTACCCCACTCTCCACCAAGCTCTCCCCAAGCCCAGGCAAGGTGCAAGAACCAGCCCTACAGTCGAGGGGCAAGGAGAATCAGATACCTGGAGGCTCAGGCCCAGGGCCACCTAGATCCCTAGAGCCACCTGGTGTGGGGCAGCTGTTGAGGGAGTTGCAATGCCAGCTGAATCTGCCACAGGCCTTCCCTAGGAGGAACCTGGTGCAAGAGGCCAGGGATGCCATTGTGGGCACTTTACAGGCCTGTCATGGCTGTGTGCCCAACCTATCCCTGGTGCTTCGGGACTGCCAGCCACCCTTGCCAGGTGAGCCTTTCTCCTGCCCTTGCACTCCCCTTTCCCTTCTCTATGTTAATTCAGCTGTTCCCTATGCTTCTTTTCCCTGTGCTAGGGGCCAAGCCTCAGGGCTCTGAGAAGCGAAGGATGACACCCTCCTGGACTAACAGCTCTGACCAGGCCACAGGGCAGAAAAGGCCACAGGGGACAAAGGAGCTCACCTTCACCATGCCTCACACCTCCAGCACTCCCACTACGCATAGGGTGAGCCTGGCACCACCAAGAGGTCCCTGGCCACCCCCCTTGCTCTCATTGCCTTCGCCATCTGGTGCAGCCTTGGGCCCCCCAACAGCCTTTGACCTACTGAAAAGCATCTGGCTGGTGGCCACACCACCCACTCCCCGACCCTGGGGGGTTGGCCCACCTCGGCCCCTGCTTCATCCACCATCACCCTTGTTGCCCCGAACCTCTGCCCTGGACTGGAGCCCTAGCCCTCCTGCTCCACTTCCCAGCCTTTCCTGGGTGGTGGCCCAGAGCAGTCCAGAAGCATGGTCCTTTCCACCCATGAGATTGTACTGAGGGGAGTTAAAGCTAGGGCTGGGTGCAGGTATCTTTTACTCCCAGTCACCTCAATAAAGTACCTTCTTCATGGTCCTCTAGATTTTCAGTGAGTCACTACTGACCCAGGAGAGCAGCTTTCCTTAGCTCTGAGTTCTGGGTCCAAGATGGAGCAGAAGGTACTATCACTTGGCACTTTCCTAGGGTTTAAGGGAGTACAAGCAGGATGGGGAAACTTTGGGCTTCAATTAATCTAACACATACTCCAGAGGGAGTGCTGAGGCCTCAGAGTGAGTGAGACAAAGGCCCTGTCCTCATGAGACTCTCAGCTCCAGTGGTTGTGTCTAGGAGAGAACCTCTTGTGCAGGGATTGGGGGAGTCCAAAGAGGGAGTGATGACTATATCCCAGTGATGAAAATCTTCACAGAGGAGCTGACACAGACCTTGCATTTTTCAAGATTGGTAGAAACTTGCTATTTGAAGAGGAAAAGAATGTTCAGGCAAAGGGAACAGCATGTGCAAAGCCTGGAGGAGGGCAAATAGTGGATGTAGGACCATTTCCCCACAGAAAATTGCTACACCATGCTGGGACCTAGAGTGAGTCACATCTGGGCCTGCCCTTGAGGGTTCCTGGTCTGATGGGCACTGGGAATGGTATATGTGCTGGCTCAGAGTAGAAGTGGCAGAACAGAGTTGAATCTGGCCTGCAGGATATTTTCTTTCACCCACAATTTTTTAAATGTTTGGATCAATTGCTGACTGTTACAAATTAGTTTTTTTTTTTTTTTAAAGCATTTCTGGCTTCTCTTTAAAAAAGGGGCGGGGGAGTGGTGACTGTAGCTCAGTGGGTAGGGTGCCGGCCCCATATATCGAGAGTGCCAGGTTCAAACCCGGCCCTGGCCAAACTGTAACAAAAAAATAGCTGGGCGTTGTGGCGGGCACCTGTAGTCCCAGCCACTCAGGAGGCAGAGGCAAGAGAATCACCTAAGCCCAGGAGTTGGAGGTTGCTTGAGCTGCGATGTCAGGGCGTTCTACTGAGGGTGGCAAAGTGAGACTCTGTCTCTAAATAAATAAATTAAAAAAGGCTTGCCTTGCAGTGTTACGAGATGAATCAATTCATCCTCTTTTGATTACTTTTTGAGTGAGTAAATAGATGCATGTGGACTAACCCCAGGGCAGTTACTCAGAGATCCTCTACCCAGGACCTCCAGCCCCTCTCTAAAGATACAGCCACTGTGATACCACGGCACTTTACTGAGGACAATAAAGTGAGACTCTTATCTCTACAAAAAAAAAAAAGGGTTCCAGCAGCAGACCTACAATCCCTCCTGGCAACAACTGGCCAAGTAGCAGACACACCCCTTCTTCACGGAGTCCACATTCTTCATTGAAAGTCTTTCTTTTTTCTTGTTTTTTTTTTTTTTAGACAGTCTCAGTTGTGTTACCCTTGGTAGAGTGCTGTGGCATCACAGCTTATAGCAACCTCAAACTCTTGGGCTTAAGCGATTCTCTTGCCTCACCCTCTCAAGTAGCTGGGACGATAGGCGCCTGCCACAACATCTGGCTATTTTTTGGTGGAGTTGTTGTTTGGCAGGCCAGGGCTGGGTTTGAACCCGCCAGCTCTGTTGTATGTGCCTGGTGCGCTAGCCGCTGAACTACAGGTGCTATGCCTCATTGAAAATCTTTAATTGAACTATTGTCCAGGCCAGGGCATCCTCAAACTATGGCCGGTGGGCCACATACAGCCCCCTGAGGACATTTATCCAGCCCACCGGGTGTTTTGGCCCCTGCTGCCTGTCCTGTTTATCAGCCAACTTGTCCCAGGGCCCAGAGTCCGGCCCTCCAACGGTCTGAGGGACAGTGAACTGGCCCCCTGTTTAAAAAGTTTGAGGACCCCTGGTCCAGGCTATGAGGAAGAAAAAAGGAAGTCTTCCACTCGTTTCTTGGCTTAGTCCCTTGGCTTAAAAATGGTATTTTGTGCAGCCCCCAAATTGTCTGAAGTGGAGGGGATGAGGAAGCTAGAAATATTTGTTAGGATTCTGATCAGGCAAATCAAGCTGAGCAGCTTGGACTCTGCTCTGGGAAGCCTTTGTAGGGCTTCCTGTTGCCCACTGGGAAGCTGTAGGGTTCACGCCAGCATAGAAAGGACTAAGCTGAATAACTTGGTAGAGGTCTTATGGTGGGTGAGTGGCAAGTACGGATGAGCCTGGGATTTGAACCCAGACAAGTTATTTCAGAGTCATGCTTTGGATATCTCACATCATCACCTCTCTGTCTCACAGCAACCCAGTTTCACACTCTGGTAAGCAGTGACAGGTCAGGGTCAGGCAGTGGGGTATGCTGGTTGTGCTGAGTGCTCTACTGCCTCAGTGTTGTGTAACCCAGAATGAGCAGCTTGCCTTCTCTGTGCCTCTGTGGGCACTTCCACTGGTCCATCTTATCTGGAAAGAGGCAACTCTGGGGTGGATACAGCTGGAGGTGGCTGTCATGGGGCGGGGATGGGCAATCAAAGAATAGTTTGGGGACTAAATGGGGGTGGGGTGGGGTGAGGCCCTGACAGTAAAGGTCTAAGGGTTGTGGGCCATTCCCTGAAGGCAGTATAGAGGAGGTATGGAGAATGGGAGTTCAGTTTAAGACGCTGGGAACTAGAGGTATTCGTGATGCTCAGGAGGGGAACATAGGGGCGGGGTGACAGAAGATGAGCATCTTATCCCACGTGAAGAGGGTAGGAACCCAGGGTGGGCCATCCTGGAGGAGAGGTTGGGGAGCGCAGCACCCGCGGCCCCTTTAATCGGGGGCGCGCATTGGCCGGCATGCGCGCTCTCGCCTCCATCGCCCGGCCGGAGCGGGAGCAAAAGCGGAGCCCGGGCCAAAGCGGGCGGAATGGAGCCCCCGCGCGTGCCCGCGCTGCGCCGCCTGCTCCCGCCGCTGCTGCTCCTGCTGCTGTCACTGCCCCCCCGTGCCCGGGCCAAGTACGTGCGGGGCAACCTCAGCTCCAAGGAGGTGAGCACGCCGAACCCTCCCCAGCAGCCTGTCTGGCCATGGGTTGGGGGATGCCGAGGAGCAGAGGGAGAGGGTGCCGCCCCGCCCCTTGCCGCCCCTCCCAGAGGACCCGGAGGGTCCATGGGGGCATGAGGCCAGGGGCGATGGGGGACTGGGCCAGGGTCGAGGCTGGATGGGGGATATGGAGGAGGAGGAGG